GTAACACCTTATATGTTTTAGACAGACCACATGTGAATTATGTTCAGTTCTGGGGAGGTGCCATATTCTGAGTCACTGACAAATTACAGCTTTTCCGTAGAAGGATAACAAGATGGCAGTGCCCCCTGGAAATGTTATCTAACCTTTGAAGGAACTGTGCATGTTTAGTTTGGAAAAGAGAAGATTAATGGGAAACTAGATAGTGGCTTTACATTATTCCAAAGCCTGTCACATAGAGAAGCAGAGAGGAAAGATGGTACAGTGCATAAAATACTGGTCCTGGAGTCAGGAAGACCCGAGTTCAAATTTGACCTCAGATTCCTAACCAGATGTGTGACCCTGGGCAAGTCACGTAACCTCTGTTTGCCTCAATTTCCTTATCTGTTAAATAAAGATGATAATAGCACCTACTTCCCATATGAGATGAGATAATATGTATAAGGTGCACAGCACAGTACCTGTCTAGGTTACCTATTATTAGCTTTTGGGAGCAGAAGAAGGAAACCAGTGCAAGGCAGACTTGGGTTTAGTATAAGAAAGAACTTTCTACCAAATAAGACTGTTTAATAATGCTAATATTGGAGATGGTCCAGAAAAAATGAAGATGTACTGTTCAATCATCCCACCGTCCAGATGTTGACAACCCAGTTACTACTTACTCACTTTCAATGAGTGAGATAAATCCCCCACTTGAGTTCCTACAGCTGGGAAGAACATCTGTGACTGTGAGGTATTGGCCACTGACAGAATTTAGTTTTCCATAATAATTGAAAAGATGAGTTTTGCACTAATGGAATCTATAATGCTCTTTTTTTTTTTTAGGTGCAACAGAAGAATCTGCCTCTTTGGGATCCAGGATTTGGCTCTGGTTACCAAGTTTCTGCTGAAAACCTTCATGCACTTGGCATTAGGAACAACTTAACCTTTGAAACACTGGGAGACATTTATTCGTATGGCTCCAGAAAGATAGTAATCTTTATAATCTCTCTTTTTTTCAGGACTTTGGGAGGGGAAATTAAAAGACAAGTAGCTTGTAAAAGTAGAGTTTGGCTTCAAGAAATAGGACTCTAATTCAGAGTAGTTATTTAGACTATTCTCTTGACTCATTTAAATTCATGTCCAGACTCTAATAAAAGTTTGAGATAGTTAAAAAGCTCCTGGGATACCAGGATGTTTCTCCCCTTGGAGGAGTGAACATCTTCAAATTTTTAGACAGGCTAATTCACCAGTTTATTCATAAAATTCTCCAACTCGGTCATCAAGGTTAGTCCCAGCTCAACCTTCACAAAGATTTCTTGCTAGAGGGAGTGTAAAAGATTAAAGTGACCATTGGGAATCTTTTTTCTATGAGAAATGGCTTAGAAATGTAACCTGACAGTTCTGATCATATATTTCCTTTCTCTTGTCGAATGCTTAATCCTTCCGAATAATAGAAATAAAAACCATTTCCTCTGGGAATTTTGACAGGGGATTGCTTGTGCAGACATTTGTCCGAGGTTAAGCAGTGTGCATACTGGGTGGTCTCACCACCAATAACACCAAAGAAAACTTTCAGATGTAATTAGATTTTCATATATAACAGCTTTATCTTGGAAGACAAAGATTACCAGAGTTGTGCCTGCTGACTTCTGCACTTTGTCCTGAAGGCAGGCCAAATTCCCAATCCCCCAGCCCCACCCCCCAATTCCTGTTCTAACTCCAATTGTCACACCCCTGCTCTCTGCTGCCTAATTTGGTCCATTCTGAGATGTGAGAGGTTGAACATGTTCCTTCTTCCATTTAATAGGAGCCTGATAGGAGCAGTGTCCTAATTAAAAAAAAAAAGTGGATAGTAGAAAACTTCATTGATATAAATTTCAGGTATTCTGGCACCTGGGGAGGGGCCTTCAAGTCACAAAGAAAGGCAATGCGATGTAGCGTGAACAGCACTGGATTGAAGATGTAGCTTGAAGTCCTGACTTAGTCATTTAAAAACTGTGTGACAGGGGCAGCTGGGTCGCACAGTGGATAGAGAACTGGCCCTGGAGTCAGGAGGACCTGAGTTCAATCCAGCCTCAGACACTTGATGCATCCTAGCTGTGTGACCCTGGGCAAGTCACTTAACCCCACTGCCTAGCCAAGAAACAAAACAAAACAACAAAAAAAAAACCCCCAAAACTGTGTGACCTTGGGCAAATTTGTAATCCTTCAGTATGCTTATCTATAAGATATATAATCTATTATTATCTGTAAGAACTATTAATAACTGCCCAGTCTGTCTTACAAGGTGGTTGTGAGGGTCAGATGAGAGGATAGGGAAGCATGGATTGAGTGCTGGACTCGGAGTCAGCAAGACTTGGGTTCAAATCTCATTTTTGATACTTAGAAGCCATACTACTTAATGTTTCTCAGTTTCAAGTGTCTCCCTGGTCTACTCAGGATACTAACATCCATTGTGCCTACCTCACAGGGTTGTATGAAACTATCAACTGAAATGGTATGTAAAGTGCTCTGAACCCTTTTGCACATTATGTAAATGTCTCTATAATGTAATGATTATAAAAATGTATATTACAATATATAATGACTACAATGACATGAAATTATTTTTAATATATCAGAATAAATAACAATCTATTGCCATTAATATTACTATTAATTATTTACTATCAATAATCAATTATTACTATGTTGCTGTTGTTGTTAAAACACCTTACCAAATGTAAAGTACTACATACATTTAAAATATCATTGTCATCTGCTGATATATCAGACCAAGTATATGGGAAGCGTTCTGCTTCAAATCATTATGTAGGACGCAGACACAAGAAATGTTTGTTGTTGATGATCCCGTCTTTTCATATTTTTTGTTTAGAGACCAAGTCTCTCTATTTAGGATAGGCTGGAAGTGCAGTGAATGTTTACAGAGGGAGAGGGAGTAAGCATCAATATGCCAAGCATTGTGCTGAACACTTCACAAATATCATCTCATTTGATTCTCACAAACACAATCCCAATCGTAATTGGCAAGGAACCTTTCACCTACTCTACGTTTTCAGTCTGGGTCCTTAGATCTCCTTATGGTCCCATCTCTTCAGGGGCTCACCCTGTTGGTACCAGACCTCGTGTGGACACTCAATCAGCTTTGGTCTTATTGTAGCTTGGAACTGTCAATCTCAAGTGATCTGTCAGTCACAGCCTCCCCCTGTAACAGGGATTTTACAAGAGTCTACCGCTATACTGACCTGTTGTTGTTCAGTCATTTTTTTAGTCATGTCTGACTGTTCGTGACTCTGTTTGGGGTTTTCTTGGGAAAGATACCAGAGAGGCTTTCTATTTCCTTTCCAGCTCATTTTACAGATGAGGAAACTGAAGCAAATAGGGTTAAGTGACTTTCTCAAGATCAAACAGCTAGTAAGTATCTGAGACCAGATTTGAACTCAGGAAGATGAGTCTTTCTGAATCTAGATCAAGTGCTGTATCCACTACACTACCTAGTTGCTCGTACACTGCCCTATTATTATATAACTATCTTTCTCTTTCACCTTAGATTTTTAAAATTATTCTAACAAAATAACTGTTAACCATATTATTAAAAGCATACATATATCACCTACTCTGTGATCATCCTGGGATTTTTAAATGGTTTTTAATGAAACAACTGTCAAATATATTATTAAAAGCATACATACATGTCCTAATCTATGATCATTTTAGTACTATTTAGAAGAAAAGAAAAAGATATGTTCCCTGAATTTTCTCTCAACAGAATAATGCATGTAATAATTTGAGGTAGGTTAATACTGTAATAGCAGTTTGCAGACAATCCTACTCTACCTTTCCTGTCCTCTTTCTTTTTTTTATTACTCCTCCCCATATATTTTATGCTCTATCCAAACAGATCTGTTTGTTGAGAGGGCTTGCTCTTTTCCGCATCTGTGCTTTGGTTCACGCTTCCCTTTGTCTCTGGAAAGTTCTCCCTTCCTCTCTTTGTCTGAAATCCATTAAAGTCTTTCCTGATTCCCTAGCTCACCTCACTTAAGGATTTCTCCTTTGGATTTCATGTTTGTTTTGCATGGTCTTATCATGCAATGCCACTATATTGTTTGTTTTTGTCATAACCGTATACTGGATTATAAGCTCCAAATGTGTAAGTTCACATCTAAACTTTGTATCACCACCCGATATAGAGCTCTGTCCATAGGCACTTGATAAATGTTTCTTCAATGTTGTTGAATGAATAAATCAAATCATATCCTATAGTTATAGAAACTCAGAGTTGGAAGGGCTTGAAAATCCATCTACTCCAATGCATACCTGAAAAATAATCGCTTTGCAACACATGTGGTCATCTAGACTTTATATTAGTTACACTAGCTTGAATTTGGTGAAGTGACTGCCTATCAAAAGGTCCTCAATAGAAGAGGTCTGTGTCTTCAATTTCCCCCAATCAATCTGAATTTCCATTTTCTGAAGTCTTTACATATGTGAATAGAAAAAGATAGAGGTTGCTTTGGACACTGACTGAAGTAATTTATAAATTCATTACTTATACTTGCTACTTGAGTACAATAGAAAGAGTCAGAGGGCATGGGTTCAAATCCTGTCCCTGCTGCTTGTGAAATGTGTGACCTTGGATAAGTCACTTAACCTCTATGACCCTCAGTTTCCTCATCTGTAAAATGAGAGGGTTGTCCTCAATGACCTCTAAAGTTCCTTCCAGCTGCAGACCTATGACTTCATTTTTATTTGGCCACAAATATTTGAAAAGGAAAGAGCTTTGGGGAAAAAAACTTCCTAGGTGAATGGTTTATAGATTCGGAAATGGAAAAATCATGGCACCCTCAAATGTAGAGATGAACTTAGTCTTCAGTGGAAGATGGATGGCCTCTCTTTCCTTTCCCTTCCGACTTCACCATTCTAGCGAAGCTTTCATGTTTGGTTTTGTGAGTAAGATCAGTGACAGAAAAGGTTAACAAGGTTCAACACAGTTCTGAAAGCAGATATGGGAAGGAATATACCACATGGCTCCCTGGGGACTGTTCAGAAGCAGCAAGTGAAGAATGGGGTCCCCGTTCCTGAAGAGGCGCCTTGGCAGTGTCTGGAGAAAGCCCAGGTCCTCGTTTGTGGCTTTCCAGCTCCTGTCCTGCTTTATGGTCATGGGGGGGAGCTATCTGAATGGAGAGAGATGCTGTGTGTACCTCAGGTGCACGGTTATGGGTGGGTGAGAAAGGCCTTTGGGAAAATCCCAGTGCTTCAATGGGCTGGGACCACAGAGGAATGCTATTTGGTCGGTCTTGGTTAGGGGTTAATGTTAGGGTAGAAATTCTCCGTAGCTGAGAATCCTGTGTGTAGTCCTCTTGGACTAGGGTCCTGTTGTCAGCTGCTGGTTGTTGGGAGCCTGTGCTGGAAACTGGGCTCAGTGGATTAGTGATTTTTTGTGTATAGGTCACAGTTGTGTTAGATTCCTCAGAATACATAATGGTGTGGCTGCTTTCCTTGTTGGAACACATAGCCCTCTGGATAGCGTCCTCGTTAGTAAAGTAAACTGTCTTTGAGGGGATTTGCTTCTTGGTTATTGATGGGTCTAAAACACGACCCTCTTTGGGAGCAGTTATTGAAGGGCTAACAAAACTCTCTTTTCTAGGAGGTGGAAGGGGCACCTAGTTTGACAAAATCATCCACAGAACAAAATAACACGAAAGGAAAAAAACAGAGAAAGGCAATGTTAGCTATCAAAGTAACCCTTGTAAAGCCCATACTTTAAACAAAGAAATTGGCACATCACACCTGTTTATAATTCTGATGCTTAGGACACTGTTGCTTGCAATTATTAACAAGAGCAAAGCATTACCTTAGTTCACTTTAAAATATGTTCATACTTGGTACTAAAGTATAGCATGATAAAAAATGCTACCTATTCCTATCTACAGAGAAACCGCTTAGCTCTTAAAAATACTAAAAATAAAAACAAATCCCAACAGTATGTCAATTTAAAGATCCAAACATTAAGAGGAACACATAGATTGTGAACTTTGAGGATGGAGACATTCTGGGAAAACAAATGGAGTGTACATGTTTTCTCTCACTATGTTATCAGGCATCACCAGCTGTCAAAATTATACGCACACACACATACAAACACATCACAAGCTCACTAAGACCTTTAACACATCCCTCACTTAATCTAATAAACACCTGAATCTATTATGTATTTGGGATTCAAAGCATTGGCCAACAGCCTTTAAAATATTTTTTAAATGCTATGAGCATCTTCTTGATTTTTTTTGGATGAATTATTAGAAAAAAATGCTTCATTCTGAACCTGCCTCTAGGAAGAGAATAAATCCAAAATCAAAATAAGCACTCATTCAGAGGTATAGGTATTACCAGAAACTAGATGGCTAAAGCCAAATGATTTGGAGTGTCACAGAGTTGAAAGTTTTAAAATCTTACCTGAATTGGTGATTTTTTGTCTTGTAGATTCGGACGAACACTCCTAAAACCTTTTGCTGCAAGAGATGAATGAGTAGCATCTCCATTCAGTGTTTCTCGAGTTTGCTCATCATAAGATCTCCAGGCTTTAAGAAAGGAAAACAAAACACAACAACATATCTGATGCAGAGATATCCAGGTTTACTTTCTTTAGAATTCATTAATGAAAGGGAGATGGTCCTCCGTGCAATTAAATTCAATCACATTTAATGGAATTATAAAGTCAAAGGTTAGATCTAAACCAACAATATGAGCTTTAAATGAAAACAAACTCAAAATGACTACAAGATGACTATATCCAAAATAGTTTTTCCTTTACCTGAATCTGGAGACTGAGAATCACGTCCTAAAAGAAAATGAATGTATATATTAATAACAGCATAAATTAAATGAAGAACTCAATAAAATGATTTAATATAAAATGATATAATTTGTATCAAACAATGGTCTGATTATTAAAAAGCTAGTCAAAATAAAACATTATGAGGTCTAATCATATTTTGTACGTTTATTTCTACTTCTAGCACAATATAATTTGTTAATTATACTATGCATTGCCTTATAAATGAAATCATTTTCTCAGTAATCTTGAAATCAATGAATATTTAATCGTATTACTGACCAAACTAGATAAATGAGTTTAAAATACTGAGTGAAAAATCTATAAGGATTTGGGTGAAAGGCAATGGAATCTTTGGCTAATAACAAGCCAGACCATCTTCCTTACCAGCAATCTCTTGCACTGCCAGTGTCTAGCTGTGTTTTTTTTTTTGTCTAGAATGTGTTTTTTTTGGGGGGGGGCTATATATAAATTTTTATATTTAGAAAATATGGATGTGTTGCTCCATTACATTTTTATTTCATAACATCAGGCTTTATGCTTCCTTTTTGCTGTCACTTAAAGCTAATTTCTCATCATAATACAGAGGAGCTGATAAAAGTACATTAGGTAACCTCATAAAGAGGCTTCCTAGAAGATACTAGTCTCATTATATTTTGTTTCCTTACTGCTAGAAGATTGCAGAAAATCTTCTAGTAAATTTCTGTTGATAATGCACATAGAAAAGAGTCTACGAAATGTACATTAACAGTCTTGTTGGAAACTGTTATTTAAACATTATCTTCTGGTGTTCATATATGCCTCTAATCTTTTTCTTTTTTTAATAACTCAGCTGAATTATACTCTACAGAGACCTATATTGTATTTGGCTAGGACAGTTATTAGAATCTTGCCATATAACTGGTTCTATGTGGGGGTGGGTGGATACAATGGATTATTTTCCAGCTGATACTTATATTAAAGGTATCCTGAAATCTAGGAAAAATTGCATTTGAGAGACATGTGGAAGAACAGAAAAGTACATTGGCTGAATTTCTGGGCAAAAGTGTTTCCCAGTTAATGGGTGCCCAAATAATTAAGAGGGACAAACAAGTGACAGTGCGCATACCGGCACACAGTGCATTTACAGGCACCTGATTAAAAGGTTTGGAAATGAAAAATAATAAAGTCATCTGTTATGATCAGCTGCTAATTTAATCTAAATGGATATTGCCAGAACTTCTTTCATTACGCATTTATTAAGCACCTACTGTTTGCTGGGTAGTGTGCTATCTGCTTTGGATACCAAGACTTTTGTCTTGATGAATAGTCCCTGCCCTGATGAGGTTTGTTATCGTTTAGTCATGTATTACTCTATGTAATCCCATTTGGAGTCTTCTTGGCATAGATACCGGAGTGGTTTGCCATTTCCTTATCCAGGTCAATTTACAGATAAGGAAACTGAGGCAAAGAAGATTAAGTGACTTGTCCAGGATCACACAGCTAGTAAGTATCTGAGGTTGGATTTGACCTCAGGAAGATGAGTCTTTCTGACTGGAGGCCAGCATTCTACCCACTGTGCCACCTAGCTGCCCCTTCAGGGGCTTACATTCTCCATCATGTATATGCACTGTTGCTCAGAGAAACAAAATGGCTCGACAAAATGGAAATTATAACTATAATGAGTTAGAAATGAATGATTTCTTCATTTTAACATTTATAGCATAAGTAAACTTTCAAGACTCTGGAACTCAGTTATTTAACATATTTATGCTGGAGACCAGAAGCCAGGGGTCAAAGATGGACTCCAAAAAAGAAACCAGCAGTGGAGGGAAGCTCAACTCTGTTGTACATAGCAATGTTAAAACAAACAAACAAACAAACAAAATCTGCTAATAATGCATACTAGAGGACCAAAACCCTTGTGTTCCCTATACTCATAAATATAGAATAAATTCTGGCCCTTGTAGAGAACAGGATCACAAGATAAAACATTGATAGCTTAGCAAAGCCTAGAAGTCACCTAGTCAAACTCCCTCATTTTATAAGGACCCAAGGACATTGGGTCCTTGAATAGAGTCATTTGACCCACTGTACACAGGTAATAAGTGACAGAGTCAAGATTCAAACTTAAGTCCACCTAATGCCTCATTGCCTCCTGATGATGTGGGTCAGTTCCCATTACAAAATATAACGTCACAACAAAAACTCGGAACGGCAACAGGATTTTAAGCCCAGAAAATGATTTACATATTTCTTGCAATGTTTGATTCAGCATAATCATCTGGACCACCTTTGGAATCTGTCCTAATGAGATTTGGCTTCTATGGTGATACTACCATGGAAGCAGCCCATAGGGCAGACCCTAGGTCAGCTTCTCAAAGATGGCCCTAGAGAGACCCAACGGTTATGCAGGACCAAACAGGTCAACCATTTCCCCACTATTGTTTACTTGAGAAAAATAAAGACAGTACTAAAGGTAAGTTGACTATTTTCTTGTATTGTATTTTTGTCTTTGGGGATTCCAAATAGTATTTGCATTTCTTGCTTTCTCTTCAAAATCTGTCAATTTTCTCTCCAGATCCAATAGCTGCTGTTTCAGTTCTATTGCATCCTGAGTTTATTCTTCAATTAGGTTATCTACAGGTATTTGCCGGACTTCACTTATTCTGTTACTTGCCACCTTCATTTTTCTTTGTTTTTCCTTGGATATCTTTTTGTGCTTTCCCTAACTGTCCCTTCATCTCCTGTTGTATGTTTCTCCTTTTATTGAATCAGAATCCTTTAATGATTATGTCCTCTCCTATTCTACTTTCCAGAAAAACAGAAGAGTAATGAAAAAAAGGGAGAAGTGGCATACAAGACATTGCAAGGACCTGTATGGACAGAAAAGAGGGTGGGCCTAACCACATAGTTAGGATGAGACACAGCTTGAGGAGGACATTGGTAAACTCAATGGAAACAAAAGAAAGGCCTCTAGCATATGGAGCAGATTAGTAAATAGATTTTTTTGTGTAGAGGTTGCTAGGTGGCACAGTAGATCGAGCTCTCAAGTAGATACTCAGGAAGACCCAAGTTCAAAAAATCCAGCCTCAGACACTTGTTAGGCAAGTCATTGTTTAATGAAATAATATTTGTAAAGTGTTTTGCAAACTTTAAAGTAGAACACAAATGCTAGCTATTATTGTTATTTATCTGTCAGCCTCAATTTCTGCATCTGTGAAATGGGGATAATAACATCACCTACCTTCCATGCTGGTGAGGATAAAATGAGATATTTGTAAGATGTTTTACCAACCCCAATGAGAAAAAATGGATGAGACAGTATAGGGTGAGGTATAGAGGGCTTGAGGTCTTTGTTAGTACACTCACACTGATGAAATCATAAATCATAAACTGTTCAGTTTTAGTGTTATTAAGGAATAAGGAAAATACTCTTCAAAAATTTTTCCAAGAGTGATTCATCAGCTAACTTAGGAAGCCAAGCTTCTTCTGTGCCTGTGAAATAAAACCTAGAGATTCGGGGACCTTTCTAGTTCTAAATCTTCTAGTCTTTTGATTAGATTGTGATAGCTGATGTCTCTCTCCATTTTAACTCTCTCTAGGGTGAGGGGTCAGAATTTTATAATTTGGGCAGGAGTCTAAGGCTGAAAACTAATTTTCTCCCAAGTCAATGACCTACCAGTGACTTACCTGGCACCGCAATCACTCCTCAACTAACCTTAGGAACCCCTTGACCCCAGAAACACACACAGACACATATCAGTGGGGCTCTATAAGGAAGTCCAAAAAAAACCTCTTGAAGCACTAGAAAGTAGGGGATAACTGCCAGACAAAGAAGGAATAATAATCCTCAGAAGGCCAGATTTTCTAAAGAAATCTTCATAAGCAAATGATTTGGAGTTGTACACCAAAGGAAACCCTTAGCACCCTAGGAAATTGTACATGGCCACATAGGAAGAAGGCTTTTTTTTATTTTTTTGCCGTGACTCACAGTCAACATCTGCCTGTATCTTAAGCCAGGATGTTTGGAGCCACTGCCCTCTTTGCCTAGGTACCACAACAGTAGTACATAATTTTCCTGTTATCCAGATGCCAGAGGCCCTAGAACTGTGGCCACATTAGCATCATGGCCTCAGCATTTTGGCTGTTGTCACAGCCAGATAGATCTGGAGACAGCAGAATAGGTGATTAACAAATGTTTGTTGAATTGTCTATATGGTCACATAAGGGTATATGTTTCTGTGTACCTGTACTTGGAGCTGTCTGGCCCTAAGCAAAGTGGGAACCTATCATGTGCTTAATAAATGGGGAGGTGAGTGACGAACCTATAAAGTAGGGGAGACTTTTCTGGCAAGAAAATCACTTAGAATGGTGTCTGATACTAAGTAGGTGCTTGATATATGCTTGTTGATTTGACATAAGAAAGAAGTGAACAAGGGCAGCTGGGTTGGGCGGTGGATAGAGCACTGGCCCTGGAGTCAGGAGGACCTGAGTTCAAATCCAGCTTCAGACACAGAATACTCACTAGCTGCATGACCCTGGGCAAGTCACTTAACCCCAACTGCCTCGCAAAAAAGCAAAAAAAAAAAATAGACAGTGGAAGCGTTTAAGAAGAAGTTGGATGACTGCTGATAGTCAGTACTAACGAAAGAGCATTCAGACATAGACTCAAAGTATCTGGAAGATCTGGTCTTGGTTTTGCCTGGGTAACCTTACTAAATCATTTCATTCCTTTAGGTCCTGGTTACCTCATCTGTAAAATGGCATGTTAGACTAAATCATTTAGTCAATCACTAAGGTCCTTTCCTGAACCTCTCAACTGCTTAGCACCCTCCATCTCATAGTATCTTGCATTTAACTACTTAGTGTATGTTTATGTGTGTACATAAAATTTATGTTGATGGTGCATATATTTTTATATGTTCTTGTCTCTGTTAGATTGTTAAGCGTCTTGTAAATAGGGACTGATTCATTCTTTTTATTTGCATTTCCAGCATACAGTATGAATCTATAAATATTTTCTGATTGATCTATTTTCAGGTCCTATACTCTGATTTCTGTATTGATAAGAGGTTAGACTAGATGAGGGGTGGGGAACTTGCGGCCTCGAGGCCACATGTGCCTCTAGGTCCTCAAGGGTGGCCCTTTGACTGACTCCAAACTTCACAGAACAAATCCCCTTAATAAAAGGATTTGGTCTGTAAAACTTGGACTCAGTCGAAAGGCCGTACCTGAGGACCTAGAAGGCCACATGTGGCCTCCCCACCCCTGGACTAGATGATCTCTGGAATCCTTTTCACCTGAAAGATCCTAGGATTCATGATTTTAAATGGCAAGGTTTATTACGTTAAATGGTTTCTAAAGGAATGAGATCATAACTGTCAGGTACATGTCAGTTCATTTTTATACATTGTGTATTGTCTTACAGTAGACATTTTCCTGATGCTTTAAAAACCTACAATTCCTTTGAGATGCTCAAATCAGTTTAATTTTTATCCAATCAATCCTTTAAATTTTTAAACAGGAGGAAAATTATCCTATTCCTTCTCCCCCCCCCCAAAAAAAACCTTCACAACATTTCCAGCAGGAAAAATTGTGATACAAAGCGAAATGCCAAGAAAACACAAGTTCATGGCATAAACAGGAGTATGAGGCAAAGGGGCCCTGACTCTGCCTGGGCTTCACATAGCGTTTTAAAGAAAAATCTATTTCTGAATGTGGGTCTAATGGCAAGGAACCCTGTTACTTTAGGCACCATTATAGGTCTAGCTCATGGCAGAAAGTTCAGTGTGAGCTAAGATGAATTTCCCAGAGGGATGTCATTCCCTTTCAACCAATGGCTTTTTAAACATTGCAGAACTATTCCAGGGAGCAACTTACCTGATGGCTTATGGGTAACTTTCACTTTCCATTCTTAAGCAAATGTGACCCCAAACCTCTGGAAACTCCACCTTGTGCCTTAGTGTCATGAGAATTTGTCTAAATTGCTTTATAGAATTTGCCTAATACTTATATAAAAGCCATTTGTGAAGGCCCACGAAGACATTTTTTCCTACTACAATGTTAAATGATGAAAAAAGAAACTAATACTATTAATATCACACTAAAATATTGGGTCAAAGAATTTTCTTAAGAAATCTATGTGGATATTGAACAAATAACAACCCCCAAATCTATAACTAGAATTCTTTTTTTTTTTTGCAACAGTATTAAAACGTATTCATTTCTTTATGATAACCATACCTGGTATATCTTGGGGACGTACCTTTGATAATACCTAATTCATTTTCACTTAAATGAGACCCCAATGTGACTGACCCTCAAGTGCTCAAGAACAAAAGTCATTAGAATTCCTTTGTTTTTACCCTCACTAACATAAGTAAATTTTGACTGAGTCACTGAGATCTCTTGAAAAATAAAGGCCTACTCTGTAAATCATTTTACTTGGAAATCACTGGTCCTTTAATATATCTTTTTTCTTTCATTTTGCTATTGCTTTGCTATTTACTTTTTTGACTTTAATATGTGGGCACCCCTAAGAGGAACTCTTAGATATGCTAATAAATTCACTTCCAGGATAGCTGTGGCCAACTCCCTAGCAACAGCAAGGTCATGATGGCTCTGCCATAAGCCAAAGAGGCAGTGAAGAAATTTTTACTATGAGTTGGTGCAAAGTCAGGACATTCCTGGAGACTGTTCTGGGAGTTAGAGCAATCATTCAACCAACCTACACGTGTATTGAATGACTTCCAAATGTAAAACACTGTGACAGGTACAGCGTGAATTGTAGACTTCCTCAGTTTTCCCCAGCTCTCCCCTTTCCCAATCCATCCCTCCCACCACCACCACCACCGAGAGAGAGAGAAAGAGAAAGAGAGAGAGAGAGAGAGAGAGAGAGAGAGAGAGAGAGAGAGAAGAGAGAGAAGAGAGAGAGAGAGAGAGAGAGAGAAAGATTAGATGATTGTGAAACTGCAAAAACTCATTTAGGGAAATAAAAAACTACAATGTTGGGGCCTGGAGTCAGGAAGGCTTAAGTTCAAATCCTGTCTCAAAAACTTATTAGCTAAGTGATCCTCAAGCAAATCACTTAACCTCTGCCTGCCTCAGTTTCCCCAACCATATACTTATCAACTAGAGCTACTGTGAGGATCAAATGAGACAATATTTGTAAAGAACTTAGCACTATGTGCCTGACACATAGTAGGTGCTTAATAAATGCTGGAAAAAATAGAATCCATTAGTCATTATAACTAAATACTATGGAACTTTAAGTTCCTAAGATGATATGAAAACAAATAATAATTAGTACATCATGGTCACTCAACATAGCAGCAGTAAAATGATCATGCATTAATTTTTTTTTTTTAGTATTTCACATGAGACATTAGAGGCTCTTGTAATTATAATATACTATGTCATCAGACTAAGTTTACTGCCAGGAGGTTGGACCCCTTCTTTTGGCTCTTTATTATTAGAATGACAAAAATTGATAAGCATGTCATTCACAGGATTAGGAAAATTGGAGCTCAGCTGCATACTGGGAAGCTATGAACTCATCACTGTCCAAACAGGATAATACTAGAAAGAGAGAAAAGTTAGATAAAGCCATTCCAGTGTAGAATTACATGAGTTAGTGATATAGTTATACCTGCAGTCAATAGGTTTGGAGAACTCTGAACTCTCTTCACAGCAGTTAATGTGACAGACATGGCAGCACGTTTGCGAGCACACCCACCGCTATCTGAAAGCACAAAATAACATAGCGGAAGCCCAAGACAAAATAAGCAAGCACATGCAACAGTGTGCGATTTGTCAAGTGCAATCTGCCAGACATCCAATGAAGCAGTGAATGGTTAAAACCAGTACCACCTATACACATCTGAAAATTCTCTCTGGGTAAAGCCCAGAACCTGAGTTTTATAGAGTTGTTAATGCCTCCCTAAAAGAACCAAAATATTTTATATTTTGTTACATGCTGTCATTGTTTTCAAAGAGATGGCAAATACGGGTGCCAGACTTATTCACATTACAAAACCTTAATTATCATCAAATAGTCCATGTATGAGCAGTGGTAGCAACATATTTGTTTAATCAGTTATTTTTAAATCATATTTTGTTCTTTATGACTACTGAACTTGTGTTGAAATAACTATTGAATCAAAAGGTGTGACCTATTATGGAAGTTACATACGAGAGACATACAGGGTTCATAAAGAAAGCCTAGCATCGTGGAAGTCTTGGACCCTCTGATAGTTATCATTGAAAGTTATATATATATATATATATATATATATATATATAGTTATACCTTGAAAGAATGAGTTTTTCATCAGTTCAGAATGACATTAGAGGAAACATAAGCTACTGTCCTGAGATCAACACATTCCATTTTATAAGAATATTTTCCTTTCTGAACAATATTCATATCATAAGTCCTAAATTTACAGTCATGAAATACATAAAGCCAAACTTATCCCAGTGTGCTCTGAATAAATCTAGAAGAAAAAATACTTCAAGTATCAGAAGGTTAATATTCTATTTATGAACTCATTCCTGTTCCGTTCCCATATTCCACTCAGTTCTGGCCTTTGGAATGATCTTTCTAATGGCATGTGCAATAAATAGTTGAACCAGTTCCGCAGAATTTAACTCTTTGTGACAAACTGCGGAAAAAGGAAAGCTAGGAAAAAGAAGTAATAACTCAGTTAAATGTTGAAAGTGACCAAATCATCTATTCTGCCAACTGTTGTGTTTTGTAACCCTGTTCTTTTCTGAGTCATAGTCTATGCCACCTTTGGACAAAAGTCTTATTTTGATAATTATGATTTGAAAAATATTTCATTGTGCATCTATATTAGTAAAGGTTATCTGTGGTATGGTTTAATTAATTAGCATGGTTTCTAAGTCAGTCAGGAGATACCTTTAAATTAGTGAAATGATCTTGCTGCCAAAAATTAATTCTTAGTAATACACATTAAAAAATTAGCAGCCTTCAAATGTAGATCCAGGCTCAAAGAGTATAAATTATTCAGATAAAAATAATACATTTTTAAAAAGCAAGGTGTATGTAATAGAGATTCACAATTTCACATATAATCTTTTTATGTTCTATTTGGCATGTGTATGTGTGTGCATTACATTCAGAATAAAAACAATTAGAAAGGAATAATGTTTAATGGGAAACCATGGGAAGGGAATCAAATATGGTAAGGTAAAGTTATCAACAACTGTATGCCACATATACTCACTTCCCCATATTCCCCTGCAACATATTGTAGAGGGTTTGGCAATAATAACAAAATGCATACATATTTATACATGGTGTACTCCTAGGAACTAATAATGGAAGCACAAAGGTAACTTTACTGGGGCAACAAAAAAGGTTTTAGTGTCATCACAAGATGAAAAAAAGAAAAGGAAAAAAAAGCAAACCCAATCTGACAGATATATGGACTTCTACCAGCACTGAGGTACAATGGGAAATTTGTGAAGAATTTTTAAAAAATAGGTATGGCGGAGAATGAGAAAGGTAGGATAGGCAGAAGTAGCTGAAAGCAGAATTGTTTGGAAATGTATTACTTTCTTAATTCACTTGAACCTGGAGAAAACAGAGGCTGAGAAGTGAAAAGAGAGGGTTTCACAGTGGTGACATTTAGGGTCACAAAAGATGAACTCTCTGTATCGAAGATGGCTCTCAATAGAGTGAGAACTTAAATAAAAGAAAATGAGACTTCATTCAGCATTCTTCCCATGTCTCTATAATCAAAGGCCTAACACAAAAGGAAGAGATTTTGGAAGCCAAAAGTGTGATGATTTGAATGATGTCAATTGAGCCCTCTTTGTCCTCCTTGAGCTCCAAGATCAGAAACTGGTCCAGCGTTCTCCAGATGAGAACCTCTGAGGACATTTTTGAGATGGAAGATGCTGCCTCCCCTGCGTTAGCTTACCCTAAAGGAGCCTGTTTTTGGTCCTCACCTTCAGACTAGGTAACTAGCCCAGTCTTTGCTCTAATGAGCTACATAATTTATACCAACTCTTTCCAGCCCTAGAAAACTCATTATGGGTGAGTCACATACCATGAATAATTTATGTCCTCCTCTCTTTACATAAGCAAGGGTCTCTTTAACTAATAGCAGGTCACACTTTGAAGAGAAAATAGAGATACTATGGCTGAAGGACTAAACTAAATTTTTGAGACATTCTAGAAAGAAAAATAAATGATTTTTCTTGCCCTTTTGACCAGCTCATGTACTTGTTTGACGACAAGCCTGTGAGGTTTTTTTTTATTGTTTTAACATACTCTATAAGAAATTTGAATGTCTAAATAATAAATATTTTGATTGCATAAGGCTTTCCCTAAAGGTCAGCTAGTAGATGTTAAGTCTAACTCTAGGGTGCTAAGGATTAATGTCGTCATCGTCATCATCATCATCATCATCATCATCAGTCCTTAGCCACAGAGTTCTTGGGAACAAATTATATACCATCTTCCTATATAATAGATAAATTCATTATTTTTTCAAAAGCAGGAAGCTTTTCTCATAATTCTGTTATATCCGTTTGAAAAATGCAACCAGATGTTTATAATTACCATAACTTCAAAATATATTAATCAAATTTCTGTGTAGTTTTGTATATTATCATCCATCGACATGCACATGAAATGACAGCATTAGAATGAGATTCTTTCTAGGATCTGAGTCACTTCTCAGAATCATGTTACATGCACAGAGAGATTCAGGACACAATATAGTCATGTGCCATAATAAAACCCTAGCATCCAAGAAATAAGTATATATTCTTGAGAACCTAATTAGGGAGCAACTTGGGTACAGGTAGGAGCAGGTTCCTGAATTACATGTCTATGAAAGTTAGGTCTGTATTTTGTACATACAATTTAGCTAAGTTTGGAGAGGTACGTCATCAGATGGTTGGCTGGTTACAGAATGGTGATTTGAGGAGGAAAGCAAGGCACAACAATTCACAAAGACAATTGATAAAGGTATAGAGGTATGGGCAGAGGAAGAACACATACCAACAAAACCATGAGTTCTTGAAATATTGAAGTGGGCAGCTCAGTGACTCAGTGGGCAAAGCTCTGGGCATGGAGGCAGGAAGACCTGAGTTCAAATCTGGTCTCAAACACTTAGTACTCTGTGACCCTGAGCAAGTCACTTAAATCTCTATCCACCTCAGTTTCCTCAAATGTAAAATAAAGATCATGATAGTACCTACCTCTGAGGGTTGTTGTGAAAAATAAATGAGATAATATTTATAAAGCACTTAGCCCAGTACCTGGCACACAGTATGTACTTAATAAACACTGTTTCCTTCCTTCCTACTGAGGCACACACAGGTAATATTTTTGACATGTACTATGTCATGAAATGGTAATAGCATTAAGTTTATAAAAGTTTCATTAATATATTTGCCCATATTGATATTAATTTTTGGCTTTCAGAGTGTTTTAGAGGAACATAGTAGGTGCTGGATAAATATGAAAATCTTTATTTGTTCTTAGAGAATTCAGTTGCACCTTGAGTATTTTTCATGTCTTCTTTTCTACTAATAATTTTCTCCAGTTGTGTACTGCATCTCCACTACTTGGTTTTTCCAAATTCTCAAAAAACGAAACAAAGTAAAACTTCCCATATCTAGCTGTGAGCCCTCCTGTTCTCTTTCCTTTGGGTCATACCCTAGATTATATTTTTCTTTATTCTGATATTCATCTACACCTCTAATCTGCCCTTTATACCTCCACCCACATTCCTCTCTTCCACATCTGCATATAGGTCTCTTACTTTGGCCAGTCTAATTGCATTACCATTCTTTGTGGCTGCTTTAGGGCCCAGTGTATTTTATCAGAGGCATCTACCAAAAGCCAAATGCTAGCCTCCACTGGGTCTATTAACCTGGGAGTTAGTGAGAATGAACTTTAACTAAATGACTCATAACTTGTTCATGCAATCCAAGCCAGTTTCTGGAACAGCATGAGAAACCACAAAAAAAAAATGACAAAAAGTTCAGATGACAAAATGTTTTACGTAGTCGTCCTCCATCTTCTTTTTTTTGCATTAAACTGAAAAACAACACTTTGTTGGTGAGGAGAGGAGACTGGATTGGAGAGGGTCAATCTTTTTGGTAGACTGGCAGGAGTATGGGATCTGGAATCAACAGACCCAGGTTCAAACCTCTGTTGTTCCACTTTCTACAGGAGTTACCATGACCAAGCCATTTCGTTTCTTTAGGTCTCAGTTTTCTCAGTGATAAGTTGAGGAGGATTGATTAGATGATCTCTAAGGACCTTTGCAATGAACATTCTAAGATTCTGGTTCTATGCCCACTAAGCTTCCAAATGACCAAGGAGAAAAGTCTATCATCAATTACCAAAATTGAATGCGAACATTTCAAGAAAAAAAAAAAGAGGAGGAAGAAAATTTGAAGTTCAAAGTAATACATCTCAATAACACAAAATATTACGTAGGTAACCAAACACTCCATACAGAATGCAGTGCATAGCTCTGAAGTCCTGCTGAAGTCTGTTGGTCACTAAGTAAGATATAGCAGCATTCTACATGGAATTGCTTCCTCACATTCTCTTGGAATGCATCATAGAAAGTTTTCCTCTAAAAAATATATGTATATACTGTTTGTAAATGGTGAAATTATAATGAAATGAGACTGATTTGATGTGAGAGTTGGGGAAATCCATACCAGTTCTTTATAGTCGTGCCATGTACAGACATGAAAAGATAGTGGGCATGTAAAAAAAGACTCCATTGGAGGAACTTGCTTTTAAATTTGAGTAATTTTAAAAGGGACGTCCTACATGATGGCCCAAATCTCCAAGTTTATACATATATACATATACACAGGGTAGAGATAGTTGTTTTTATCCTCTTCTAAGATCACAATGAGTTTTACAATGCATCCAGAGAAAAAGAGGAAAAGGTAACAAAACAGAGAGCTCGATTGTAGATGGCTCTTGAACGTACTAAATGCTATCTAATAATCAAGGTCTTAATATCACATCTACTGCAAATCAAGTGTCACTATAGTACAGTATGCTAAAATAATGATTTGGGGTCAGGATTATCACTAGATAAGATTTGAAAACTAACAGAGACAGCATACCTGTATTCATTTTGACCTTGGAGGGTTTGCTATTAAGATCTTCAGTCTTCCTGTAGAAAACAAAATTATGTATTAATTTGTTCACTAGACAAAAGCACGTGGCACAAAATGTCACTAGGATTATGTTGGTGTAGCAGTGAATTAATTCTGCACCAATGAATACATGAATTAGCCCTGTTTTACAATTGGGGCTTTAGATGGACACAATTTATAACATAACAAAAATAAACACTATTAATGGTTTTACATTGTTCAGGAATTAATATCTTCATTTAGATTTGAAAATCACAAGCAACATATTCATACTGAGTGATTTTTATTTTGTAAATTAAAAAATCATATTTTAGAATGTAAATAAATCAACAATGTTATGAAAATTTCTATAAGTCTAAAGAGATGTTTCTATGCTCTTGTAAGTTTAACTTTTACAAAATCTAATAACATATGTAACTACAGTTACTCAGTTTAATCTCATAATTTCTTAAGTTGAATAAAATCTTCTTTAGAAGGAAAAAGATTGTGTATTATTCTCTGGGACTGAGGGAACTATTGGTAAATGACTCTTTCCAGATTCCAAAAGGTACCTAGGTGCCTCAGAAATATTATTTGGCATGGTGAGTCATTATTCCCAGAATGCTTTATTCAACATGGCTCACTCTGAGACGAGGATGGCTATGAAGATGAGTCATCTCTATTTATCTTTTTTCCAGGCCCAGGTACTAGTGTACAAAAGAAATGATTGCTCCAGAGAGACTTTTCCATGGTTGGTTTCAGCATCTGATACCTATGATTGCCACTGGGATAGCTACCAGTTCAGCACACACATGATCACAGAGAAAGGCCATCTCCTGGGAATACAACTTGGTAAAATGGAAGAGTGTGCTGGAATAAATTCCAAGCAGAGCACACCATTTAGCTTAGATTTCTCATTTTATATTTATTACCTTTCCACATATGATGTTTTTAGGTGAACTAGTCACTGCATCCATTCATAGGAAACTCCCCACCCTGAGACCGAACAGGAAATGTATGCCCTTAACTAGATGCAAAACCAAGGAAGAGATAAGACTATAAAAGAAGCCATTTCAATCTTGCCCCTAGGTCTGTGTTTTTGTGGGATCTGTTGCTAGATGATCCATTTGCCTTCCTCCTAGATGAACATTCTCTATGTATGTCACAGCTTTGACTCTAACTTTACTTGGACCTCATAGGAGGTGAGATTAAAATGGAAGGAAAAGGCCTAATCATCTGAAAACATTTGTCAAAAAAGTTTTGATTGGCAAGCTTTACCCTGTATGACAGTATATGCACTGTAGATTCGAATGCCCTCAAGAATGATGCCTTTGCTTTGATCCCCAGTGTTTTTTTCCTTCCTCCTAAGTCTTGCCTAGCTTTTCTCCCCACTCCAATTATTATACTCCTCACTCTACTTCTCATACACATAGCCACCTCTCCTCCTTTTTCAATATCATCTTCAAAGTTCACCTCCTAAGAGGAGCCCACACTAAATGGTATAAGGTAATGGCAATAAAACTGAAATATGAGGAAGATCGATCATGTCTTACTGGCACCAGATCAAACTTCAAATCACTAAGGTTAAATATTATGGGATGATAAAGTTACAATCTAACAAAAGGTATTTTAAGGTCCAGAATAAAAGTCAACATCGATTTAAAAGAGACAGGCCAGTCATGTAGCAAGAATGAGACAACAGATGGACAGCTCCCAGTGCTACCTGGGTACTCCCACAATATTAAGAGAAGCAGAAGAAGGATGTTCTATGGAGGTTTTTTGAATGGAAATGGAAACAAAATATGCCATAGGATGAGATGGTGTGGAGGATATAATATTTGTGTTTGTGGAAGGGGCACCTTTGCAGGTGAACACAAAGCTCCACCACAGCTACAGAATATGAAGATATTCCAGGAGAAAAGAATCAGGTCTTTCTCATGTTCTCTTTTCTGCCAGCCATAACTTAGTACTCAATAAATACCAATTCAATCAAGACAATGAAAGAATAAGAATTTTCACAACGACATTCCTCCTGATCCACTGAAGACAGTGCGATCAACTCATTACATAGCACAGAATTTTCCAACATCAAATTAACTTGCATTTTTCAGTTCGGCAAGATCACACGGTTTCAATCAGCTGCATTGGGGATAACACACTCAATGCATCTCCCCTTCCATAGGGGTATGATCCAAAAGTTACCATAGGGTTATTCTTTGAGGAATTTACAGTAAAGTTACATACACTCAACTTGATAAACATTTATTGAGCACTTACTATGTGCAAGGCCCTGGGGATACAAACAAAAATGAAATGGTCCCTTCTAACTTTATGTGCTGATCTAAGAGAATCCCCATGACAGTTAACCTCATTTTTAAGCTTTTCATTATATAGAGATCAACACTGGGCTTTGAAAAACAGCTCCAGGTTGAATTGCTTTAATGATACATATATTTGGAAGAGGTGGTAAAAAATAAGTCAATAGAGAAGACAGTAGTATTTTATATGGCTACATGGAGGCTGCTTCAAATACTTTTATTTTAACCTTGTAGCATAACTCTCAATACTCTGACCTTAAAGGGACAAAATAAATGGAAAAGAAAAAACCTCAAGGGGGTTGTTACTAAGTCAGAGCCAACTTCTAAAATTAGAGAACAGATAAAGTCCACAGGACTAGCAATTTAGCAACAAAAGGTTTTTTTTTTAAAGAACACACCTTCAATTCCACTCTATTACTTTAAAAACTAAACCTAAAACTTAATTTCAAGTTCTAATAACTGATGCAAAAGAGAAAGGGAGACTCACAGGCTGCTATAATTTAAAAGAATCTCAGAGATCACCCAGTTCAACCCCATCATTTTAAGGATGAGGAAACTCAGGATCTGTGACTTGCCCAAGGTGACACAGCTAATAAGTTGTAGAGCTAGGATTAGAAGTCATACCTCCAGATTCCTGGTTCCAGCATTTGTTTGTTTTTCAGTTACTCCTTGCTTCTTCTTGCTTGAATACCAGTGGAAATATTTGCAAAAGATTTGGCATTCCAAAGGAAAATACCATTCTAAGATGCCACTGAGTCTTTCTTACCTTTTCATCTTTAAGTTAATGCATCCTTCTCCTTAGAAAAAGAGTTTGTATAGGTTTCTCAAATTCAGGTTGCCTAAGATGTCAGAATGTGAAATGGCCAAGTTGCTAGTTAAGTAAAAACACTTTCTCACCCACAAAAAAAAAAGCATTGTTGTGTGTGGACCCTTAAAAAGGGCCTAACTTGAAAGGAAAAGACTGTTCTTAGGTGACTAATAAAAATTCATGAATTCTATTTATACTAAAACCATCAACAAATCCACCACTGAGAATTCTCTCCAGACAACTTAAAACCCAAGTAAGTCCAATCTCTTTTGTTAGGCACTGATAAAGTGTCTTTGATTGTAAGGCTAGGCTTGCATAACAGCCACAAATTATTCTGGAAAGCATCAAATTCCTAGAGTGTTTTCATGCTGCTAGAGGAGACGGGCAGGCGTTTCAAGTATTTCTTTCGCTTGGAACAGAGCCATGACCAGTACAAGAAGAAACGCTGGAAATGCCCCCACCATCTTGACTCTCAGTCTTGTCACGAGGGCAAAGAACTCTGTACATTGGGGGTGTCCAAGAGTGCTCGTGCAAATGGTTCTGGGGCTCTGATTTCCTTAATTAGATTTACTTCTTGCCAATTTTCAGTGAGTTCTTGTTAAAAACCTTATTTATGAATGTTTTAATAGGGCCAAAATTGGCTAAGGGTGACAGGCTGCCTTGTGAAAAAATGTATAGCTCTGGAATCAAAGCTGTATGAAGATATTTGGCTGCTCGTGTGTGGTTGCCAATACGGTATCCATCACCAGGCCTATGAGATAGTGAACACATGATGCCAGCATTATTCTCATTTAAGTGCCCACTCTGGCACCTGGGGCAACATTCACTGGCCCGTCCTTGTTCCAGACTCTGATTAAGTCATTCTATTAAAGAAAGCAAGTAGAATCTGAAGTTATGACCACCTATAAATACGTAGAGTCAAGTTTAGGCTCAGTGCATTTGAACATCAGCTGAAACTAATTTCCATTGTATAATTTTACCTCAGGAGAGTGCTATAACAATTTTAAAATGGACCAATCATGGTCTGTTCCTTTTAAAGGAGAAAAAATAAACAACACATATGGTGAGCAGTTCTGTTTAAGTTATACTTAATATGTTCATCAAAATATAGTCTTTATTGTAGCCATGCATTATCTATACATTGGATGGGGAGTTAACTTAGAAATTAGATTGGGGTGATAAGATTATAGAACTAAAGATACAGGGGATAACACAGGCCATCTAGTCTAATTCCTTTATTTTCCAGCTGTGGAAACTGAGGCTCAGAAGTTAAATTAGAAATTAGGTTAGAATGATAAGACTGTAGAGCTAAAGACAGAAGGGACAAAAGAATACATCTAGTCTGGTCTTCTCCAGATGAAGGGACTGAGGAGCAGCGAGAGTAAAATAAGTATTAAAGGTAAGATTTGAACCCAAGATCCTCTGAGTCCAGAGTCAGCACTCTTTAACTGTCCTGAAAGATTTTTGCTGTTGTGTCATTTCAGTTGCATCCAACTCTCCATGACCCCATTTGGGATTTTCTTGGCAAAGATACAGGAGTGGTTTGTCATTACCTTCTCCAGCTCATTTTACAGATGAGGAAACTGAGGCAAACAGGATTAAGTGACCAGGTAGTAATTATTTGAGATTGGATATGAATTCAATAAGGAGTCTTCCTAATATCAGGTCCAGCCACTATGTCACCTAGCTGTCCTTCCTGAAAGACTAAATCTGCTCTATTTTAACTTTTAGGTGAAATGCAAATCCCTAAAGTAGCCAATTTATTTCTTAGCCTGAAGAATTAGGAAGTATTCATAAATGTCACTTTCCTCTACTTTTTAAATTATGGTCAGATGATTTGATTTACATTATTAGAGGTAGCTTTTATTCACTAGTTCAAACCAAGTCAATATTTTGCCTGAGCTCATCATGG